GCTGGTGCCCGGGGGGTGCACAGCAATTCCTTTGAGTACGCGGACGACGACGAGGAGGAGGAGGACGATGAAGTCAAGGTGTGAACGGCCATCCCTCCTGTCACGGCCCCCCACCAGAGGCACCAGTGCCAGGGTCTTCACCCTCCTCCCCGTCCCCCACCCTCAGGCGCCAGCGTCGCCAGTGGACCCAGTGGGTGACTTCCTTGCCAAGCTGGGGGCACTGGGAGGCAGGAGGAGAGCCCATCTCCCAGGGTGCTCCCCAGGGCTGGGTCAGGCTGCTGCGGGGGACCGGTGAGGGCTGTGCATCGCAGCGCCGGGCATCGCAGCCCTTCCCCGGCCTCACTGCTGTTAGATGCCAAAGGGACATTCCCATGTGCCAAAGAAACCCCAAACCCCTTCCTACCCCATCCCATTCCCCCCAGCGCCCTCTCTCCCACCCCTAAGCCTGGCCCCATCAGCATGTCTGGGGACGTGCGCCATCCTCCCACTGAAGCCCCCAAACACCCTCTGCGCTGGCACGGGTGGCCTCCTGGAGATATTCCCACTGATAGCTCTGGCATGTAGGGGATGGGGGTCTCCCCAGCTCCAGCTGGTGCAAGACCTTCCTCTATAGCACATCTATCTACTGGGGGAGGTCAGCTGGGGGCTCAAGGGGCAGGCAAACCCCACAGAGCTGGGCTTTCCCTTTTCCCCTCCCCCCAGAAAAAGCCGTGAGCTCAGCGTTCAGGAGGTAAGAGCACACACAGAGATAATTGCAGGGGTCTTTCCACTTGCCTCCTGCTGCTGAGCATCACTTAAGACTGCTCCTTTTCCAACCCCTGCCCCCTCGCAGCAGGGAGGGGAGAAACTTCTTGGCTGGCTGGAGGCAGAGGCGAGGTTGTCAGGTCACCAAATTCTGCAGTTTGGGCCCCAAAAATCCCTTCCCTTCCCCCCACCTCAGAACAAGGAGACTCCCACTCTGCAGCCACTCAGTCTGTGCCACCTCTTCTCCATCCTTGCCCCTTCTCCTCGTTCCCCACGTGCACGCCCCTCTTTCCAGCATGCCCCTTCCCAGGGGTACGCATGGAGGACAGCTAATGCCCCTCGCCAAGTGGCCCTGGGCGATGTGGCCGCCCTGGAACGAGCTGTCCCCCACGCTGCCCCACGTGCAAACTGGCCCTCACAAAAGCACCTTTGTGCTGCAGCGTGGAGCCGAGATGCTCGGGGGCTGAGGTCACCAGAGGGACCCTCACAGGACCCCCCTTGTTCTCCAGGACAGGAGGGGGTGTGCAGCAGGGGGAGATGCCAGGCTGTGGCCGCAGGGCTCTGCTCCCACACAGCTCACCCACCGCCCGGCTGCTTCTGGCAGGGAGCTCTTCAGAGCAGAATAAAGAGGCTCCGGCATGCACGCGTGTTGTACATGGGAGTGCCTCTCGCAGTCATGCCATTGAGGTTACGGGCAAGCCCATCTCTCCTAGCTTCCCTGGGTGGCTGCCTCGTGCCAGCCAGCAGCAGCAAGCCAGGGCAGGCAGCAGCTTCAAGGAGTCCCCAGCTCTGGCCACTGGCACCCAGCAGGATCAGCCTTATCACCCCTGCACCCTCTGGGGCAGGGACCCTGACTCTCAGGACGAGCTCCCCCTGCCCTCCGCTTCCCAGACAGTAACACAAGCTCCAGACCAAAGACCCACATCTGTGGAATATCCTTTCTGCCTCCACTCTGTATCCCATGCACTTATTATTGTCCTTATTAAAGCAGTTTTGATACTAACTTCTCCTCTGGTGCCTCCCCTCAGCTGCAGCGACCTTATTGTCTTCCTTGCTGTGTCTGGCTCTGCCCCAGCCACAAAATCCCATCCTCTCCACTCTCAGCAGGCTTTTCCAGCACCTCTGGGATCCCTGGATTAACTAGCCTGGTACTTTGCCACTCACCATGGCTATCACACAAAGCAACCTCCTATCCACCCTGCTCCGCGTAGCATGCAGGAGGGTGCAAAGCTTCCTCTCCAGCCCAGCAACAATTCATTTGCAGCCTGAAGGAGATCGGTACCCTTCCCAAAGCTGGCTCGGCTACAGCCCTTCCAGCCCATCAGACATCCTCTGCCTGTGCACTCAGGCAGCAGCAAGTCCTGCGGGTTGGGCAGCGAGGAAGTGGAGAGGGAGGGCAGGGGCACTGCCACCTTGCCTTGGACCAGGCTCTCCATAAGATGCTCTTCTACTCTGCTGTCCTCCCACCCAGCCTGAAGTGCCCCGATGTTTGCTGTCACACATCGGTCTTACTTAAGGCTGGCGAGACACTTTTTAATTAGAGCAGCAGCATCTGATAATCAGCACTAATTGCCTGTGGTCCCATGTAAGGGGGACAGACTGGTAGGTGCTGAGCCACGTAACCCAGCCCAAACCCTGTCCTGCCTCCCCACCGCCTTCCCCTGCCTCACTTTCGCTGAGTAGGGTTCGGTGTGGAAATGTCAGAGTAATGGGTAACCTGGCTGGAATGTGCCAGCAGATAAGTGAGGTGAGATAAGGGGGAAAGTCAGATGCTGGCTCAGGGGCATACCTGTGCTGCCTTACCCGTGCCACCACTTCTCATGGTACTGCTCCTGCAGGAGGGCAAGGCACCCCTTCCTCCTGCCTGCTGGCTGCGAGAGCAGCCAAGAGGAACCTGTCAAACCCATGCCCTGAGGTTCCCAAACCTATCATTTAATAATGTGCTTTTGTGGCACCAAATGCCACATCAAATGCCACATCACTCACATCAACAGTTTTCTTTCCCTTCCTTCCTCCCTCCCTCCCTCTCAAAAACTCGGGTGCAGGAAGAAATGGTGCATTGTGAAGAGATTACACAACCATTCCCCGAGCAATCACATAGTGTCCTCCTCCTCCTGAACTCCACCTACAGCCTGCTTTGCCCTACCTACTCTCCGTTCAACCCCACATCCTGGTCTGACCCAGAAAAGCACCTGGCGTTATCTGGGAGCTATTTCCACCCAACAAGGGCTCCTTTCCTGTTGGTGGAAAAACCTGGCCATGGAGCCAGAGACCTCACAGAAGCCATATTAGCTGGAGCAAGCAGCCTCCCACTGCTTGGATTTTTATTAGAGCTAGGAAGCAGTGCCCATCATTCCAGCTTGAAGGAGGTGACCCTGAAGCCTCCCCTGATGCTCATGTAGCTGATTGTCTGGTAGCAGTGCCGGTTGGGGAACTTCACTGTATGCCCATCTGGTAGTTTCACTTGGAATTTCTCTGCCAGCATTTCAATGATGATCTGGGAGAAGGAGGGGAGGAAAGGCACGGATTGGGGACAAGGAGGAGATTAGGAGGTGACCGTCAGGTGAAAGTCCTGACTGTCACATGTGAGGGTCAGACCTGGTCCTGACAGCTTTAAGCAAGGTGCTGGAGGTTGAGTTGAGGGTGATGCAGGAAATGTGCAGTTGATATCAAGTGTCTGAGCTGGTATCTAGACTATAACCTGGGGACAGGATCTCTCCTGGGACTGTTTCAGCTACTCAGATTGTAAACTCAGAGCAGTTAAAGCCAAGTGTGTCTTTATACGCCACATGGCCTAGATCTGCTCTGAATAGGGCAGAATAAACCTGACACTCCAATGCCCTCAGCAGCTCACCAGGACATGGAAAAAGGAACTTTGCTGATAAACACGCACAAGCAGACAGGACAAGAATGTATCACTGATCATTGCAAATTAAAGGGATCATTCCCCAAAGCCGTCACCTCGCCACCCCTTCCCCAAGAGCCAGCCATGACTGAGGAAACAAGCTTCCTCTCCACAGCAATAGGAACAGGACTGCTCCTAAATGCAGCCCTGTTAACGTCTTGGGACATCAGGTGGGGTGAGGCAGCAACTAGGACAGCATCCCTGGCAAGAGGAGAGGGAGGGCAAATTGGCAGCATGGATCCAGGAGTAGTGAGGACAGAAGAGCTGAGGGAGAGGTTTTTGGACATTGCTCCAAACTCTGGGTTGCCTTAAAGCCTGTGTTTGCATAGGAGGGAATTAGGGAGAGAAATAAGGTAGGGAGCAGCAAGATCCTGCTTCTTAGAGACCCCCTTTACTTTCGTATGTGCCCCTGGTGCACTCACCTGCTGGGCAGGAAGCAGTTACAAACCCTGAGACAGACAGGGCTCGTGCAAAGTTCCCAGAGGAAGCATTGGGGTTTTGAAGGAGGAGTAGAAATGGCAATCAGGACCAAAAACCCAGAGGATGAGGATAAGGGGCTGTTGGGAGGGAGCAGGAGGCATTGGATGGGACTGGGAGGACTAGGGTATGGGAATCTGCTAACCAGGGGCTTCCCCCCACCACACACACCCCCCACAACCCCATGCCAGCACAGACCCCTCACCTTGGTAGTGGAGCCCCTGGAGAAACAGAAGTGGTCATCACGATGCTCTGCCTGCCAGGCATTGGAGCACCTGGAGTTGCAGACAATGACAGACTCATTGAAGCGGGGATTGAAGTGAAGTGCCAGATCTGAGACTCTGCAGCCGAGATTGATGCTGAAGCTGTGGGTGAACAGGAGGAAGGTCAGCTGCATGGGCAGGACAGGGTCTTGGAAGAACCGAGATCCAACACACGGCTCTGCACTCAGTTCCTCCATCAGCGTTGCAGGAGCGTAATGCCTCCTGTTTCCTCATTCTGCTTGGGAACAGAGGGAGTTTGCACAGTGGCGGCATAGGGGCTCCCCTAACACTGAGCTACGCTCACGCTTTTTGTACCTGGCGACCTTGGAAAACCACTTCCCTCTGCAGCGCATCTTCAATCCTGGCAAGTCAAGGTGGTTTCTTTGTACTTACCCATCAGAATCATCAGATATCTTGCCCTTGACCTTCAGGGTGTCCCCAGTCTTCATACCCAGGTTGAAGATTTCAAATTTTTCCTAAGGCAGAGAGAAAAATAGTCTGTGGGGCTCCTTCAGCCATTCTTCCCCTGCCACCGCAAGTTAGAGGGTGCTGCTTGGAGAAGGTGCCCCAGCCAGGAGAACATCTACTGCTTTCAGCTGGTGTTCCTCTCATGGCCAAAAACCTTCCGTGCTGGAGGTCTTGCATGGGCTTCTCACTCAGTGAGGGAAGAGCAGGCTGAGTAAAGCCAGTGAGAAAAGATATCAGAGAGAGAGGAGGTGAAAACAGGCTTGTCCTCAGCAGAAGAAAGGGAAAGCATGACAGCAGAGGTACAAAGAGGGTTAAAGCAGTGGGGAACAACCCAGGGTTTGGTGGGCAGCATCACCTGCAGCCCAAGAAATGCAAGTGGAGAGAGCAGAGGCGGCTGTGGCTTGCCGGTCCCTCGCTCAGCCTTGCTGAGCTGGGGACCCTGGGTGACAGAGGACAGGAGCAGGAGCCCTTACAGCCATCTTCCTCAGAGGGTAGAGTAACCAGGCAGGGAGCCACCAGCAGTTTAGCTCAGAAACACTTCGCGTGGAGGACCTTACACCCCTAGACTTCCTTGTGGCTTACACATTAACAGCACCGCTGCCTCTGCAAGGTCCCACCAACTGCTAGTAAGCCAGGAGACTTTGATCCAAACGAATAGCTTCCCTATGTACACTTCCTCTCATTAGGGACTTCAGGAGATTTAACCAATTCCCAGCCTCCTCAGTGGGTCCCAGTGGAGGGGCCACCACACACAGCCCTTAGGGGTGCTACTCCAGCCACCACATAGGACAAGCATCTTCCCAGCTGGCCACGGAAGTGTGACCACGGTGTTCACTTCTTCTCTGTGTGTAACAGCTCAGCCAAAAGAAGCATCCCAGCTCCTTCCTTTTGTGGCAGGGGGGCAGTCCCCAAAATCCACACCAGCACACCAAAATGGTCCCCACCATCCCTTCCCACGGTGCTCTGACGAAGGGCTCCAAGGGGCTCCGAGGACAGGGCAGCCAACACATCCCCTCTAGATGACACGAGCTATGAACAGTCCTTTGCAGGAGTGACATGAGTGACATCCCAGCTCCTTCCCTTCTCATGACTCTAGATTCAGCCCCAGCTGCATGGATTGCACTAGCAATACGTGGGAGCTCTCTGCAACCTCCCATCCAAGCTCCATCGAGACCCAAACCTTTTAGCTTGAGGAGCCATGCACATCACGTTCAATAGCCCCATCCTCCCTAACCCTGAGACACGGGAATGTTGTCCTCGTGCATCACGAGGGAGCATCACCCCTGCTGTCTTCTTCCCAGGTAAGAGCTACGAGTCAGTAGACAGTGTCCCAGGTTTGGTTGAACAAATTGGTGGTGTTTTGCCAGACTCCAGAAGTCAGTGGGAAAGCGAGAGAGAGGAGGAGGCCAAGGCTTAGGAGACCAGCAGTCCCTCAGCCCTGCTCCCAAGCCCTGCAGAGAGCAGCTGAGTGCAGTCATCCTGCAGCTGCACAGCCAGCTGGGAGACAGCTTCTGCCCTTTCCCAAAACCTCCTGAAGCAAGCAGAGGTAAGTGCTGATAAGCACTCCTTCCCCGGAGGTGTTTCCTATTAGCAGGGGGTCAGAAAGCCCAGCAGGCTTGGGATAGTTGTTTGCTGTCGAGGTCACTGAAGCTGTTGGTGAAACCTCCCTGGGCTGAGCATGGAGCCAGCAGGAGCAGGTGCTGGGGATGGTGGTTTCTGGCACTGGGTCTGTTTCCCCATCACGCTGCTGTGTCCCATCCACACACACCTTCACATCACCCTGCTCCCCTGCAGCTATCCTAGGGACAACACAGAGCCCCCCTCTCAAAATATCGGAGCATTCCACTGGCTACGAGAGGTTTCTTCTTCCAGCAACTCACATTGTCCCTTTACAGGGACAAGGGCAGTACAAAGACACTGTCTGCATAGCCACCATCAGGGTCAGTTATCTGAACTCATTTTAAGCCAGCGGAGAGAAACAAACACTTCTAGGGCTCAAGAGACTAAATCCTAAGACAGACGCTAAACTCGGTCAGAAAAATCCTGTCCTACATGGCTGGCCAAGGTGACACAGGAATGTTGCGACAGAAACAAGACCCAGGTCCCAGGCCAGCAACGTAGAGGAGCCTTCCCCCCACTTCCCACACAGACCAGACAGAAACATCACTCTCACTCAGATTTATCCACTGATCCCACTGGCAGAGCATGAGGCTGCCCAGGAGGGAGAGCAGCATGTGTCCGAGGGATGGGGAAAACTACCCATGCGTAGAGTTATGGTGCGGAGCCGCAAGTACCACAGATATGAGAATATGCAGGGACGGAGACGGGCAGGAAAGAAGCACAAGCTGCTCAGAGAGGGGCCGTGAGATTTTATCGAGATAACATTAACCCCCCTCCTACAATGCTCAGCAGGGGCGTTCACCCCCCTTTTATTTGCCACTGGGAACAATAGTGGGAAACCAGGCAGCAACTCTGCCAGCACTGGCGACTTCCTTCATCTGCAGAGCTGAGCCTCCGCATGGTCAGACACCAGCCCTACGCAGATGGCCTCTCTCATGCAGGGGTATGTGCTCCCCACATACGAAGGGGCTGAGATTTTAGGGACCCTAGAAGAGCCAAAATTCTCCAGTGCAATTGGAGGTGGCGATTGGGATGATGAAAGGAGGGTGAAAGGGGCAGGTTGATACTTCCCTGCAGACACTGCAAAGCAGAAAGCCTGGGGAAACGGTGATATGATGGGAACGTAAATCCCAAAGAAAGAGGAAATCCGTCTAATGTGCATCTGCAAAGGAGGTGGAGGGTCTGTGCAGTGAGGAAAATATAAGCAATGGTTGTAGAAGCTGGCAGCCACCAGTGCAAGGGATCCAGGAACCCTTCACCCCCAGAGAGATGATCCTATAATAGGGTACCTGCCTGGGAGTGCCTCTCCAGGACCCCGTATAGAATTTCATCCTGGCCAGAGGGTAGTTGGCCTGTACTGGTGTGAGATGCCCATGTTCACACCGCTGGCACCAGAGAAGGCTTTGCTGCATTCCCAGAGGGTGCCTTGGGACAGCAGAGACCCGACAAGCAGTCACTAGCGCGAGGGTGGGGCCCATGGCCAACCCGAGAGCGAGGTGAGCTTCCAACATTTGGCAGGCAGGCCTGCAATTTTGCATGGAGAAAACAAAAAAAAAAATCGTATTTTAAGGATGGAAGAGACCAAATGCAACCACGTCGGCTTTCAGCCAGAAAGGTGGCAGGGCAGGTCCTCTGCAGAGTGCTTTCATGCCATGAAATGTGGCAGCTCCATTTGCAGCGGTCCCATAAGGTTTTGGGGTTAACAGTCCTTCCCAGCCTTCCTGCTAGTTCTAGGGAGATCTCAGGCCACCAGGAGCACCCACGGGATCTCAGGACCCTCAGGGTGGCTCCAGACAGCAGGACCTCATATACCATAGCCTAGAGCTGCCACTGCTACCACAGGGCACCCACACAGCTGTTGAGAACAGTCTGAATGCCACCCTCCCCAGCAGGCTGCCAAGATCCTCGGCAGCATCATTGCTGGCAGCAGCATTTATTTTGTTTTCTTACTCGGGCAGGAGATAAGCCAGCTAGGTGTGAAGCCCTGAGGAAAACCACAGGCTTCCCCACTTGCCAGCCAAAGTAGCCCAACTGCCCTAGCTGTGAGAGGTTTCTCAGGGCCTTTTGTGGCAGGGGGGAGACCCCAAAATCCACACCAGCACACCAAAATGGTCCCCACCACCCCTCCCAGTGGTGCTCTGAGGAAGGGCTTCAAGGGTCTCAGAGGACAGGGCAGCCAATGCGTTCTCTCTAGATGACACGAGCTATGAATAGTCCCTCACAGGAGCGACACGGGTCTTCACCAGACATGATGCTCAGCCCAGAAGGGAAGAGGGAGAGAGGGGAAGGCGGG